GGTGTGTCCCGGGACTCCACGGAGGCCGGCCGGGGAAGGAGCTTTGGGGACAGAGCAGTCTCAAGTCAGTATGGCAAAATATCAGCAGCTGCCGGTCCTGGGACGCGTCCGTCCGTCCGTCCGTGTTACTGAGCCCCTCTGTGTTTGCAGTGCCCCAAGCCCTAAACCACGCAGGGCGGAAGGCGGTCTTGCTGTACAATGCGGTGACGTTCACTGGGGCTTTTGTGAGGTCCTCGTACTCCCTGATTGTCCGCGATTTAGTTAGTGACTTGCCTCCTCCCAGCTGGAACAGGACCCCGCTCCCCCTCCCGCACGCTTCACCTGGTGGTAGTTTGTGCCCGAGGCAGGTGGATGGGCCAGCTGCGGGGAGGGCACTCCCACGTGGCCGCAGTGCGGCTTCAGCTCCAGGCACCTGGGCCAGCGCTGGGGCACTCCTGACCTGATTTACTTCAGCAGGTGTCACACCTGGAGGGACAGGATGCATCATCAGTCAAAGCAGGGAACGTTTTGACCGTTGTCACAGGGGTTTTCAAACTGGTCTGGGAGCCCTTCAATCTTTAGGGTTGAGGGGAGGAGGGAGCAGGGCCGATGGCTTTACCCACTGACCTTTCCTGTGTGTTTCCATTTGAAGAAAAAGGTTGCTAGTTTTAGGGACCTAGAGACCCTCTGGCTTAGTGACTCAGCACTGGATTTCTTTTGAGGGGCTGCAGTCAGCCTTTCAGAAACGATGGCAGCTGTGTCATCAGTTACTCTGGCTGCCGTTTGGTGGTGACTCAGGCACAAGACGCAGGGCAGTGTGGTCAGGCTGCACCCACACCCACCTGGGCAAAAGGCAGCAGGTGGGGTGTGTGTGCTGTGGCCGGTGTAGTGCTGGCCGTCCCTGCGATGGTGCCATGGGGCAGGGGGCACGGTGACCCGACAGGCAGCCTCGTGCTCTCTCTTTTGTTGTTAAACCAGGTGTAGCTGGATAGGCTGAGCAGGTATTTCCACGTAGCAGACACTGTGGCCGAGTTCAGGGGCATGGCACGCTTCCCGCAAGGTCGCCGGGCTGCACTCGAAGGGGTCAGGGGCTTTGAAAAGCATCCGCAGGTGTGAGTGGGACTTAGCACCGACTGCCATGTCAGGTGTTTCACTCATCATATTCTAAGAAATCGATAGAGAAGATCACACACACGCGGAAGAAGAGAGACTAGCATCGCGGATGGCCGCACGGCCGCCAACGTCACCAGTTCTCACGCGCGGCCAGTTGACACCTCTGTCAAGCCATGCCTCCCACCCCCGATGATTTCGGAGCAAATCCCAGACGTGCTAAAAATAAAATTGAGTCAGTAACTATTTCAGTCCGGAATGCTAAAAGCAGCCACGGTGTGGAGACGGGCACAGTGTCGAATGCCACCCGAGATTGTCGTTGTTCCTTAATGCCGCAAGATAATGGTCAGTTTGAAGGAGTCTCTAGTAGGAGTGGAGGACGAGGGGGCAAAGGAGGAGTGACCCGTCCCCCTGCTCGTCCTGAACTGTATGTTTGAGGAGGGTTTAGGTGCATAAATGTTTTTTTTTAATAACAGCTTTATTGAGATACAGTTCACATCCACACAGCCCCCCTCACCCCCATCTAAAGGGTATACGCATCCGTGGTGTTTAGTTTATGCACAGGTAGGTGCAAGCATCACCGCCTTCAGTTTTGGGACATTTTCATCACCCCAAAAAAGATACCCTCCTGCCCTTAGCCGTGACTCCCCAAGCCCCCTACCCCCTCCAGCCCTCGGGGACCGCTCGCTCGGCTTGCTGTCTGCAGGTTTGCCCGTGCCGGGCGTTTCGGACACACGGAGGCATTACACCGTGTGGTCTCTCGTGTCTGGCTCCTTCGGCCGAAGCGGGGCCTTTTCCGGTCGGCCCGTGGGGTCGTGTGTGTCGCGCTGCGTTCCTTCTCACGGCCGAGGAGCCTTCTCTCGTGGGGAGGGACCAGGACCACATTCTGTTTTCCAGTTCGTCGGTGGGAGGACATCGGGGGGTTTTCTGCTTTGCGGCGACGATGCGCGCTACCGCCGTGGACATCCGGGCTCACGTTGTCGGTTCTCTGGGGCACACGCCCCGGGGCAGAACAGCGGGGTCGTGGGGGATCTCGGGGTCCCAGCTCTCCGAGCGGCGGGGCCGCGCCACTTCCCATCCCACCAGCAGCGTGCGTGGTTCCCAGTCTCTCCAGCTCCTTCCTCGCCGGCCCTGGTCACCGGTGGGTGCGACCTGCCGTTTTCCTGTGACTTCGATCATTCGCGTTTCCCTGTTGGCCGCAGGAGGTGGTATCCCGATTGTAAACATTTCTAAGCATCCACGAGGCCGCGACGCCAGCGCCGAGGGTGGAGTTTTCGCTTGTTCGATCTGCACAGGGAGCTTCTCACGCCCCCGTCAGCGTCGGGGCCGTTACTTCCCACCTCGGACACTGCGGAGCGAGAGGAACAAACTGTTTCGGGGGCATTTAGGATGCTTTATGTTGGGTTTTTAGTCTGAATCAATCCAAACAAGCAAATCCTTAAATTCAGAGATGCAAACGTTCTCGGTCTGTCTGCCTCTCCCCAGCAGAGGTGAGATTCCTAGCAAAGGTCCGTACACACCTGTGGGCAGCATTGGCTGCCAACACTGTGTTTATGTTTAATCTGCTGCCGTTAATAATTCTTTCACGTTCCGCATGAAGCCCCCGAGAGGTCTTGTGCACTCATTTGTAAGGGTAGCGGTCACATAATTTTATTTGTTGTGGTGCACGCTGTCCAGAACCTGCCTCCTTTCACCCTGATGGCTGTGATGGGGGGGGGGGCGGGGGGGCAGTTCATTGTGCCGAGCTAGCCTGGAGAACCTTAGAGCCACTTGGGTACTTTCTAAGAATTGGATCCAGAGCGGTCGATTTGGGTGCTTTCTTCATCCTTCTGGATGGGCCTGAAGCAAGCATTTGCTTAGAGAGCTTGCTGCTCTCCAAAGTGGGATCCGTTTCTTCAAAACTGGCCAGACCAAGGCAGCTTGCTCCATGCCTGCTAAATAGTATGTGAACATTCTGGAATGCTTGCAGATTGCACTGAGCTAAAATTAGACTCCCCCCCCCCAAAAAAATAATTCATCAAAGCAGAGCTCTCGGGTTCTGCGAGCTGACAGCCTCTCTTTCTGCCCCTGGTGACAGCAAACGTGGCAGGCCCACCTGTGAATTCTCTGCGCCCAGCCCTCCCTCGCACGCTGAGACTCCCATGTCAGGGAAGGGCTCTACCGAGCGGGACATCCAAACCAGGAGCCCCAGAGTGCCTCTGAAGCCTGTCTGGAGTGGGCCGTCCTCCCTGTCCCCACCGTCCCCACTCTGGACCACTCTCTCCTGGAACACTGCCTCGGCTTCTGGTTGTGCTTTCCGGCCCCACCCAAGTTCTACACAGCATCCGGAGTGGTCTTTAGAACAGAACTGTAACAGATACCCACCTTAAAGCCTCGTTTTTCCGTCTTCCCAGCTGCCTCCTGTGGCTGCTTCTGGGCCTTCCTTTCTGAAGTTAGCTGCCTGTCCTCGACCCCAGCCGCCGTGCCTTGAACCTTAGCCACCAGCCCTGACCCCCTGCCATCCTGCCCTTGACCCCAGGCGCCATGCCCTTGACCTCTACCTCCAGTCCTTGCACAGGTCTGTCTACCTTCAAGCCCGAAAGGTCTGCCTTCTAGCTGATCCCTCTCCTGGTCAACAGTGTCACCTGATGGATCCTCTCTGGCACCTCCTCTTCTTTCTGCCTCCTTGTCTGAGCTAGGGGGTGGGCAGAGGGACATTTTCTGCCAGCATCTCGACCCCGTCATGGTCGGCACAGGGGAGGCAGTCAACAGATACTTGTTTCACGACCAAATGCATGACAGCTGGGCGCCTCTCAAGGGCCTGCTCATGGAGTCGTTCGCTCCGAGTAGCTGAAGACGAGGCTGGTCTGACTGTCCTAACTGGGCATCTTTGAAACGGGGTTTTCCGTTGATTGCGATGGGTCCTGCCTCTGCGCTCTACAGGCTTAACTGAGTGGAAGCAGGAAAGACGGCATTTGATGAGAAAACACACACGTGCGATTTCAGATTTTCGTTGCGGTTCTCAACAGCCTTTTTTCTCTCTCAGCTGCCTTTGCATCCACGTGACACTCTGTGCAGACCGTTTCGGACGAGGCGGTGCGGTTGATCAGTCGCCTTCAGAAGGTGGCGGAGGGGCCAGCCGGGGCAAGGGGAGGCCACGAGGGAAGAGACTGCGGCCTCGGGGGGCCACGTGTCAGCAGGTGGCCGGGCAGGAACGAGATGATGGGAGGCGAGAAACGAACAGCAGATGCCGAAGCGCCTGCATTGAAATGTGTTCTCTCTGCCGGGAGTGCGGGGCCTGGGGGGCAGCCGGCCGGCGCTGCGGCCAGAGCGGGGCGGGGGGCGGGGCTCCAGTGACGTCCACCCCTCGCGTTGAGTTTGATTTTGGTCACAGCCTCCGAGGAGGAAGGCCCGGCTCTGTCCTGAGGCCTCTGTGCCTGGTGTTCGTAGCGACTTTCATGGTGCCTAAAATGGTTTCTCAAGACACCAAGCACGGCGTTTGGTGTCCGTCTGCTCCTACCCGAAGGGTTCGGGGCCATCGTGGGCTTATCTGTGGTCTCCGGGTGGCTGGTGGCAGGGATGGCATATGCTTCTGCCTTGGCGAGTGGCTAGATAGCCACCAGCTTCCTGTGTCAGCTGGGTGTGGCCTGGGCTGGTCGCTGGAGGGATGGTTTGGGGAACGGCCAGGGCCGGGGGTCAGGGGTTTCTCGCCTAGCCTTTGCCGATGACCTAGGGCCGTTCAGCAGAGGCAGCTGGACAGGCTGGGGACGGGGAACATGTAACCACAAAATCAGATCTGTTAATGAAAAATGTCAAGTCTGTCCAACGGGGTGGGAAACTTTAAATCCAAAACGAATGACGCGCCTGCGTAGGGGCGTCCTCACGTCCGGTGAGATGTCCCGCCGTCTCACAGTCTGTCCTTCTCTGTGCAGGAGACCGCGAAGATGGCGGAAGCCCACCAGGCCGTGGCCTTCCAGTTCACCGTCACCCCAGACGGCATCGACCTGCGGCTGAGCCACGAGGCCCTCAAGCAGATCTATCTGTCTGGACTCCACTCGTGGAAGAAGAGGTTCATCAGATTCAAGGTCCTCAGACGTGCGCTTTAGTCTGTGTGGTGGTCGCGCTGAGGCTCTCGAGTCTGAGCGGCGTTGGGCGCGTTGTTTGTATTTTGGTGTTTGGCACACTGTATTTTCATGGCGCTTATGGCTCACGAAACGCCGTCACATCTGTTGGGCTCGCTGAGTTCGTGAAGGGAATTCTGGAAGGGAGGTAGGGCGAGTTACCACGTTTCACCCCAGTGGGAATGTTGCTCTCTGACTTCAAGGCCCTCATAGCACAGCTGAGAAACCAGGGCCGATGGGTGCGAAAGTGTGTGCTGCAGGACAGCGCCCGGCCGTGCCTGACCTGACCATCGCGCTGATCAGCGCAGGGGTCAGGGCAGCTGGGGGCGGCGGGGGTGTGGAGAGCCAAGACGCCCTATCTAGAACCTTCCTCCCTCCATTGTAGCTTAGCCTAATCGAGCCGCCCCTCCGGCCTCCCAGATTCCACCGCGATCAGAGTTATACCAATTTTGGCTCGTGTATCTCTCTCTCCTTTCCCCTCCTGCCGTTCCTCGGTTTCATTTTTGGGGATGTGTGGGGCGGGTTGGCAGAATTCTCCTACAGCAAATTCTCGACACGGAGTGAGGTCTCTTGTAACTCGGGGCCAAGAGGTGTCCCGATTGGGGCGGGGAGGCGGGGGGACGGGGACTGTTTGGGCATCCCAAGGGTGGCAGGTTTGGGAGAGAGGACTTCATGGTTGGCTCAGTGACGCCCTTAACCCTCACGGGTGTCACGAGTGAGTCTGGGTGGTGCCTGGGATCTGCGTTAAACCAGTCCCTTGGGAGGTTCAAATGTGTCACTCGGGGAAACGTTTAGGGACGCTTTTGGTTCATGGGCTGGAGCTGGACAGAAGTGGGGGCAGCTGCAGGTGGAGGCTCTGGGGTCGATTTCCAGCGGTGACAGCCTCCCCGGGGGCCGTCGCCGGCGGGCTGGTGGGACTCTGTGGGAGAGGCGCGGCTCACGTGTGTCTGCTTTCAGAATGGCGTCATCACGGGCGTGTACCCGGCGAGTCCCTCCAGCTGGCTCATCGTGGTGGTGGGCGTGATGTCAACGATGTATGCCAAGGTCGACCCCTCGCTGGGAATAATCGCGAAAATCAATCGGACCCTCGACACGACGTAAGCCATCCTTCCGCATCTCAGGTTGCGTAGAAAGTGCCCTGGGCGGCTTGGCTGGGGGTGTTTTCACGTCTGTCACCGTTGTGGATGCGATGTGCCATTCTATGCCAGCTTTCTCCTCGTGAACTGGGCCGGTCCCCGGGCGCCCACTCCCCAGGAACATAATGGTCCCCACGTCCTCGTCCCGTAATCGGCCTTGTTTGTCGGGCCAGGAGTGGGTGTGGAAGGCGGGCGAAGTCCGTGGAGGACGAGATGCAGCCGGGTGTGTTCCCTCGGTGCCCGGGCCGTGTCTGCAGTGGGGGGGCTGGGGGTCCGGCCTAAGCTAAACAGAGGAACCCTGGGCCTTCACTAAACCAGCACCTGGCAGGTGGTTTGGATTTAAATACTGTTCCTTTGGAAGCCCCTGGACTCAGGACTAACTGAGAGTCCAGCCCAGTGGCCCGTAGCTGCAAGAACTGGCTCGTGCCTTTATGTGTGTCTGCAGGACGCAGAATCTAAACTCCTGTCCTTTTGGTGGAAGCGTGACTGACCTGGACACCTGCCAGAGTCCTCGGTCTGCCTGGGGGCCGGGGCGGCTGGGGTTTGTCACTTGTCACTCCATTCCTTAGCCTCTGCCCGTCTCATCCTTTCGTTCCCAAGGGGCACAGGCCTGCGGACAGCTTATTTAACCCACACACTGTGCTGTTCCTACCTACTTTTCAGGCTTTTGTGAGTCTTAATAGAGATTTTTAATTTGGTTTTGAATGTGGGCTGTCTCTTAACACTGGATGATATTTACACGTGTTGGCTATTTAAAGCCTTTATAATCTGGGTCTTTATAAGATTTGTTTCTTCGTCCCTCTAAACCAGTTGTGGTAACTGGGCCATCCCTGTCCCAGATTTAGAAAGACCAGGTTAAGGGCCAGTGTCAACAGGCCGAAGGGCTATTCCGGAGCAGTCTTTGGGGAAGGGAGACCCACAACCCCGCGTGGCCACGTTCACAGGCTCAGGTGTCTGGCTACTCTGTCCATCCCCTGCAGCCTCAGAGGACAGAGTTCTTTACAAGAAGCTTTTTTGCTCACGCTTTTCATCGAAGTACTATATATGTGTAGAAAACCCTGAGCATGTCATTTATTTGTTAATGCTCAGATACGGTATCATTTTTGTGACTCGGTACGTGGGTAGCCCTTAGACAGCTGCATGTAGATCACTTGAAAGACAGCTGCTCAAACCCCTGAATCTAAGTTCGCTTGTGGGTGACACGATCAGAAAGCAACGTGTAGGTTTCGAGTAGAGACGACAAAGTCGAAGTCAAGATTTGACAGGTTCTAGAAAGATGCCAGTTTTGAAGCAGACGCCTTTTACCTTGAAGATACATGTTTCTGTGTCACTTAAGTATTAGAAAATGTTAAGTTGAAGATTTCCAGAATGCTGGAGATAGCTTCAGGTTGCACAGTGGCTGTTTTAATCGTTTGCAGCACACTTAGTTTTTATTTTGTAAATATTTTGTGGTTTCCAAAACAGCTAAAGCCAAAAGCAAAAACCGCAAAAGAGATGCGAATGGCTCCATTTCTTCTCATCTCTAAAGTCTCATCTTCGCCGTAAAATACATCACTTTCCTTAGAAAATGAAAACGTATCGTCTTTATTATTTAAATGATCATTTTCTGCGATCAGTTTCTTTGTTTTTACATGATAAATATTCCCGCCTAGATCAAAAACAAGCTCTTTCGACATGAATCGTTGAGGTGATATTTTTGCTGAACAATCTGAGTTTTTATGCGTAACAGCGAACTTCAAAATTCGAGGAAAGAAATCGTAGGGTGCAGGGTGGGGGCGTCACGGAACTGCTGTGAGCCCCCGGCCGAGGCAACGCGGGTCTGGTGTGGGGGTGTCTGGGGTGCAGTTATCGTGGGGCAGGCCACAGCCTCGCACGTCACCTCCGTCATCGTCCCTAGACCCCAGAGTAAGATGTGCATCCCCCCCACTCATTACAGAAATTAGCCCAGGTTCATTTTGAAGATCACCAAAGTGGGTGGGGGCAGGGGGGTGGCATTCGTTTCAAGGTGAGGAGAAAAACACCTGCATCTGAGTAGCTGGGTTAATAGGCCTGACCCTGGTCCCCGACCCGGGCCTGCGATGTCATCAGCGTCAGTGGCCCGCGGGGTGGTCACCCACAGCCTCTTTCGCTCACTAACGCATTTGCGGCTTGTCCCGCCTTTTCCCGGCAGCGGCTGCATGTCCAGCCAGATGAAGAACGTGGTCAGCGGCGTCATCTTCGGCACGGGCCTGTGGGTGGCCCTCATCGTCACCATGCGCTACTCCCTGAAGGTGCTGCTGTCCTACCACGGCTGGATGTTCGCCGAGCACGGCAAATTGAGCCGCGCCACCAAAATCTGGATGGTAATCACGCCGTCCCCTGGCTGCAGACCCGGTGTGCGTCGTCCGAACCCGTTCGCTGAGGGGGGCTTGCCATGCGAGAGCCCTGTGCACGGGGCAGGTCCCCGGCCCCGGGCCGTCACCGCTGTGGTTGCCACGTCCACGAGTTGGAGTATCTTAGATTCCACAGACGGCGAGGCCATGAGTGTTTGTCCTTCTGCGTCTGGCTTATCTCACTTAACCTAGTGTGTCTCATGTGGGTGGCTTTTCCTTGTGAAAGAAGTGTCCTCACAGGACGTTTTCCTCCTCTGACCCTGGGCTGGTGACTGAGGAGGTAACCTCTAATCGTTGGAGAGGCCCGGTTCACCATGACTCGTGAGTTTAGTCCAAAGAGTGCTTTTCTTTAACGATGCTGAGTTCTGAACGTTTTCTGCTAACGTCTGCTGGGTTTGTCATCCAGGTCATCCATCAAGTAAAAGCATCGTTTGCTCACTTCTTTGTAGCTTTATTTAGCTGAACTTGGGCGTTTACTGGTCTCCCTGGCTGACCAGGCCGACCAAGTCTCCTTGACTCACCCTTAGCTTCCAGTGTGTTCCACCAGCTCTCTGCGGCCCTTAGCCCGGGTGTCGGTTGTCAGCCGTGTGCGAGGGTGTTGTCGCAGTTTCACTGAGTGCTGACCATCCGCAGGCTGATTGCCTTCCCAGGGGTCCGCTGGTGAGAGAAGTCTGGGAGACACGGGTGCCACCCCCGTGTGCGAGCCCACCGCGTACCCCTGCCTTTCGTCTTTCCCAAACCGACTTCTGTCGCTTGGATTAAGTTGTCTGATTTCCAGAGAAGCAGAATTTAACACCCAGGAGAGATGCAGAGATGGTTCCCCATACGTTACATGTGAACAAGTTAAACAGCCTCCCCAAGGGCGACATTCATAGCTGACGTCCAGTCGAGTTCCAGCGCTTTTTAGCATCAAGATTCTCCTCTTTCACACGCACAAGCCACACCCACCATGAGCCCTAAAAATTGCTTGGTGGTCTGGTCAGCATGAGATGACCTAGTTATTACACAAAGTTTAGGTTATTCCAGCCTAAAGCAAAGGCTGATAGCAGGCAAGTGTGTGCCGTCCACTAGGCTTGCCAGTGACCGAAAGGGGTACGTGGCTTCTCCTGGGGTGGGCTTGAGATTCAGGCACCTAGCTCACCCTTTGCCAGAGCTTTGAGCCAGTCCCCAAACCCAGGGCCTTGCGGAAGCAGGTGGGCGGACCCGCCTCACATGGAGCAGGGCAGCCAGATCGTGATCCCACGGTGCCCAGGTCAGGCCCTGGCTGGAGACCGCCACCCCCTCGGCTGGGTGGGCCATCAACGATGCTTCTGTCACACCTGGTTTTTATTTGGGGTTGCCTGGTTTTTATTTAGGGGTTCCATTCAGCTGTTTTTTATTTGGGGTTGCCTGTTTGTTCGCTACGGCCCGTGAGGGTCGGGGCAGAAAATAGACAAGCGGGAAAACACCTGTAAACCGTCGGCAGACCGCGGACGCCTGAGAACTGGTTTTGTGTCTTCCGCGAAGTCTTACCCTTTAAAACGTGCCTCTTTTTGTTTTTTTTTTTTTTAAGTGTATGATCAAGGTCTTTTCGGGTCGGAAGCCCATGTTGTACAGCTTCCAGACTTCTCTGCCACGCCTGCCGGTCCCGGCCGTGAAGGACACCGTGAACAGGGTAGGCGAGGTGTCGGCTCACGGGGACGCCCACTGCGCCCGTCGACTGTAGGATGAGCGTGTACGACGTCGTGGTGATCGTCAGTTAGCTTGCTGTCGTCTGGCTGTGTTAGCTCCCAGCAGGGTGCCTTGTAGGGCTGCCTTTTTTTTTTTCCCCCATATCAGCACGTCTTTGGTGTGTGTGTGCGTGCGTGTGTGCGTGTGTGCGTGTACAGGGTGCCTTGTAGGGTTGCCTTTTATTTTTCCCCCATATCAGCACGTCTTTGGTGTGTGCGTGTGTGCGTGTGTGTTTGTGTGCGTGTGTGTATTTTTTTTTTAATATAAAGGCATCATATTTGATGCCTTTGTATTAAAAAAACCACTATATTTATATTAGAGAAACCACTTGGCAAAAAAATTTTAACAGCTTTATCGAGATATAATTCACTCCTAGTATCCAATTCAGTGGTTTTGCTACATTACATTACTCATCGTTTTAGTCATGGTAAATATACGCATGACATAAAACTGACCATTTTAAAGTATACGGTTCTGTGGCGTTAGGTGCCTTCACAGTGCTGTGGAAATCCTGGCCGGGGGTGTGGCCAGCCCCGTTCCCTGTCATCCTTCTGGCTCCTCCTTCCTGCCCAGGTGTCCTGAGTTCTCATTGGCACATGGCAACCTAAGTGAGAAGGGGAGCTCTTGTTAAGGGCCAGATAACGGAGAGGAAGCACCATCAAAATTTCCTTCCAAATTATCTGCAAGCCGCGTAGGTGATTTTGTGCTGATGCAGGATCTGGGGAGCTTGTAGAGCCAATACAAGACGAGAAAGTTCCATGGTTTATCACTAATCTAAAACATCACCTTGGAGTTAGCCAGCTTGTGTGAGGGCCAGCAAAACCAACGTGGGGAAGATTTTCAAATCTTTTAAAGACGTTTAGAGGTTTTTTTCTAAGGACACCGTGTGTTTTAACTTGCCTTCCGTTTTTCTCGTCAACCACAGTATCTGGAATCGGTGAAGCCTCTTATGAAGGAAGCTGACTTTAAGCGGATGACAGCTCTGGCAGAAGATTTTGCTGTCAATCTCGGGCCAAGATTACAGTGGTATCTGAAGTTAAAATCCTGGTGGGCTACCAATTATGTGAGTATATGCACACAGTATTTTTTCTGATGGAATTTTTTGTATGAAAATAGTAACCAGTTCCATGAATGAGCTGGGCTTCCCCATGTGCGGCGGGCAAGAGGGGACATTTGGCAGATGAAACGGGTGGCGGTTTTTGAGGAACGGCTGACGTGGAAGAGAAAGTATTCAACGTGACCGCGACAAAGCCAGCGGCCGGGGCTGGAAGTGGGTGTCGATTGGGTGGGGAGCACGAGAGGCGTGGCAGGGGCAGGGGCAGGGGGGTCACTTCCGTTGCGCATCAGGCGCTGGGGGTGAATCCCCACACATTTGCACACGTACGCTCAGGCCGACGTGCACACCGTTCTGTGCATATGTGCGCTTTTACACAGTGAGAAAACAAAGCGGTCCCTCCGTCAGGGAACAGGAAGAGATTGCTAGCCGTTTGGGGGATGTTGGGGCGTCGTGCTAGGGTGCGGTGAAGACAACATCTGTGGACCCCATTTTAGCACCGAGGCTCTGCAGGATTGAGAGGTGGCTGCTTTGGGGAGACCGGGGAGCGGGGTGACGTCGTTTTGGATAGTAGTGTTGGGAAGTGTCAGCAGGCAAACATCGTCGCTTATTTTCCATTTGGTCTCTTTTTTTAACTATAAAACGCATGTGATCTCCCGTCTAGCTGTCATGACTTCAAAAAAGACCACTTTCCATTTCCCGTTGTTTTTTCGCATGGAGTGCCCCCCTCTGCCAGCCCGGGCACTGACCTCACGCTCATTGAGTTTGTCTGTTTGCACCAACAGGTGAGCGACTGGTGGGAGGAGTACATCTACCTCCGAGGCCGGGGCCCGCTGATGGTGAACAGCAACTACTACGCCATGGTGAGTCGTCCGGCCGGGTGGGTGTCTGCTGGGCGCCGAGCCGCCGGGTGGTGACTTTGCGGCCCTGCAGGCTGCCTGCGGGAGCTTGGGGACTTGGGGCTGCTTCCACCGTCCACAACTGTTGCGGCCCACTGGGGACCTCAGGACCATGTGCCCAAAGTGCCACTGAGGCTGAAGGTCTCAGGGACATCGGGTTGGCCTAGGGTGTGCCCCCCGGCCCGCACTCAGCTTTGTGCTATGCCCGGAGGGACTAGGGGGGTCACATGTCTTTGGTCTTTTGAGACATTATGGTCTTGGATGGCACACGCCCCTTTTTTAGAAGCCCCTTGGTTGGGGTTCCAAGTCTCTGCTTAATCACTGGAGAATCGAATTTTCTGTTTCTTTTCTTGTTTCTTTATTGTTTGTTTTGTTTGTTTTTCTCTTCTAGAAATTTTTCTCTTCTTTTCCTTTTAACTTTTTTTTTCCCCATCAGCAACAATCTCACACTTATGAAAGAATGGCTGGTGTGGGACATAGAACATTTTTTGACAGGAAGCTGTCCACCAGCATCCTTTGCCTTGATGAAGACTTAAATGTCTGTTTCCCACAAAGGCACTTTTCCTACATAATCGGGGACACGCTCCCTCCAACTGCGGTGTAGGCCTGTGTCCCTCGGCCTTCACCTCCAGTCATGGGAAGTGACATTTAGAAATGTGTCTCAGAATTTAGAAAAGTCGCGGGCACGGAACTGCTCTATACGAAAGGTTATATTATACGTTTTGGTCACTTCTCACTCAGAAGACTTCCTGTTAACTCTTATTTCTGCTTTAAAAAAAAAAAATGCATTGCGTGAAGATATTTGGGACAAACATACTGTCGTCTTTTTAAAACTCAGATTTGTTTAAAATTTAATTTTAAAATACACCGTGACCTTTCATAGCCCAAGAATGACCTGGGGGCTTCTGTCCTACAAGACACGGGAACAATGAAACTGACCACGCGTAGGAAATGAACTCGCGCGTGATCTTCCAGCAGAGCGGGTGTCATTTACCGCCGTAGGGGGCGTCTTCACGGAGGCCACGCGCTCGGCCGTGCGTTCCGGTCGGCCTGTCTTTTCCTAAGCACGTT